TATAGTTATATAGGTTACATAGGTGTTGAATAGGGTTTAGGTCAGGGCTCTATGCATTTCTTTACGAACCAGGCTTTGTGCATACGGACACGGTCATGTTGAAACGAGAAAGGCACAAATACAAACTGTTGGCATGAATGATGATCATTATTTATCTGTATGCTGTAGCCCTAAGATGATGGGCAATTGGGACTAACTAGGCCTCAAAACATGAAAAACAGCCCTGGACCTTAAGTACACTTAGTGCACAAGGTTGTCCACATACTTTTGGCCAAGTAATGTACTTTCATTTGGACTGCTAAAATGTATTTCTATAGGGAACCCAGACATCTTTCTGTACTTAAACACTGAATAAAGGTGTAGGTAGGTCCATTTTATTCAAAAATCTATAAACCTTTGTCACTTAAATGGAAGATGAAAGTAAAACTGCTCAGCGGCGACACGAGAACAGGAGCAGTAATGATCTAAAAGTCCCAAAAATATTAACACACACACACAGAAGAGTTTAAAACGAAGCACTGTGGAAAAAACCCTGCAAGTTTAATATCAGGCTGTGTCCAATAAGAAAGGGCTTTGATCAACAACATTAATCAAATGTTCACCCACAACAGCAGCAGATCTGTCTGTTGTTTTCAGTCTCAAAACTTATTAACAAGCTGACACAGGAACACATTCATTAGGCGGCGTGGGATTATTATAGACACGACTAAACATGCCAAAATATCAAACGGCACTGCATCCTCTGCAGGGAGACGGTTGCCTGGGAGTACAGGGTTTGGTTGCAGTGGCAGCCCGACACGCACAGAAATATACACAACTGACTGAAGGCTCCGTTCACATCAAGCACCAACATATCTTTTTTCCCTAATAATTCTTCTGAGCAAGAACAATGCTAGGCAAACTGGGCAGATACCAAAAACAAAAATAATGTTCCCATGTGAAGCCTGACCTGAACCTGACATCGCACTGCCATGAGGGGACAGTTTCTGAGATCTGATAGCCAGAAACGAATCCAGGCAAACATAATCACCTGAGGGCAAACTGAGAGTCAAGATGAGGCAAGAAGTCACCCGATGAACAGCAGAGAAGGAAAAAGATAACAAAAAATGCATGCGTGTTTAACTAAAATTACAATTTAAATCTACAACCTGCTGGGCTACCAAGTTTTCAAAACTGCTCAGGGAAAGGAAAGGAAACAAAACACACCAAGTACAAAGAAGCAGCAAAATCTACTTGTCTACTCTGGATCAAATATACAAAGCTGTAGCTGTGATTAAGTTTACACTAAATGACACAAATATATCACGGACTCACAAAGTATTCATTTACATTTGTACACATACAGCTGTAGGCCTGAACCAATATACTGACATGTACACACAAACACACACATACATGAAGACCTACAAACTGTGAAACACACAAGTGCACATTGGGACACTGGACAAACACACACACACACACACACGTGGGGGTCTTCCTACAAATGCCTTAATATTACGGTGCTGTCTATTTTTATTCATAGAATAGTGTTTTGTCCGCTGAAATTGCACTTAATGCTCACACACACACACACACCAACCCACTTGCCCACACACAAAAACACACACACACACACACTCACACCATAAATACTTAAATGTACGCTGCAGTATACTGTATGTCCCTCATGAGTGCACAGAAACACACACATCTACACAAAAACACATTCACAGGTAGAGGACACATCCGCACACTTGCACACACGCAGTTACAATAAATGTGTGCTTGTAGATAAACACGCACACACACACACAGAAACATGTACATACAAACATGCATACATAAACCTATATGAATGCATTCGCTGTCTCAAACAGACACATACTGCATGAACATGTACACACACACACACACACACACACACAGCTCTCTGCGGTGAGGCGACGTGGTGTCGGAGCTCACCAGGTCGTCCAGGATGGTAACGGGGAAATCGAACATGCACATCTTGACGGGTTGAGCGAGGGCTCTGTGCAGGCTGAACAGGGACTTGGTTTCCATGCTGCACACTGAAGGCACCAAGGAGCCGCCGCTGGACTGCTCGCACAGCAACCATACACCAACAAAAAAATGATGAGAAAAAAAGAAAAACAAAAACAAGAAAAAAAAAATGGAGAAGGAACTCCCCAAGCTGGCTGCTCGCTCGCTCAGCCTCTCACCGAAGACTGCAAGGAATCAGTCTCAGAGAAAAAAGACGAAGCCCTCCACCTCCACCTCCTTCCTCCTCCTCCTCCTCTCCTTCCCAGCCACCACCAACCGCGCACTACCCTCGTTTCCCTCCCTCCCTCTTCCTCTTCTCGTCTTTCGTCCTCTCCTCCCCCCCCTCCCTTCGTCCCTCACCAGGGAACGTCTTAACTGTCAGCAGCTGCTCTCTTGTCTTTCCGTCTTCTGGAGGTATGGCCCAACAGCTCAGAAACACTCAGCTGTTATGCCACGACTGCAGCGTGTTTGCTTTCTCTCTTCTCTGTAACGTTCAGGCTGAAGTGCTCAGACTTGCCACGGAACAGTATGCCTCTGCCAGACAAAAAAAAAAATACCTTTGCCAAATGAAATGCAGCAGGTACACAGAGGGGTTCCGAGTTGCCGTCTGACTCTCTTCTGCTTCATTATGCTGCAGCGATTTAATCAAGAGAGAAGGACCGGCTCTGTTCTGCTCCTGTAGTGCCAGACTGTCTGTGCGAGGCCCATTAAAGATGAAGCAGGGTGACTGCTTCTGAGGCTGATGTATGAATCAGCCTCCCCGCTCATTAATGTCGCTGGTAAATGTGAAACTAGACGTTCTGGCGGGTTACCAGCCCTCATCTGAAAATTGTTTTCTTTTGTGAATATCTGTTGGGATGATAAAAGTCTGAAAATCCTCCAGCTGCTGTGATGCTTCCTTTCTGTGGAGTTATTCAATCTTTGATGCGGTTTAAAAAGTCAATGCTGTTGTGTTTTCTGCACTGCACCTGTCAGACTCAGAGACCACTGTCAGTCAAACAGTGTGGGCAGTTCTGTGATGTCTTTTTCTGTAGGTATTTGTTAGATGGCACTCCTACTCCTATCTGTCTGTGAAGCCACATCTTAGTGATTGCTTTCCACGCTAGCTTTAGAGTCACATCAGATTTAGTTCGCTGTGAATACAGCCTGTTCAAAGGCACCCCGCGGCGCTACGGAGCCCAGTTTGTTTCTCGTGCACTAGTCGCATATGAGGACGCACATGCATGAGCATACAGTTGACTCAAAACACATTCCTGCCGAGCGTTTCACTCTATTCCCTTCAGTGTTTGGTGGTAACATGAAACGTGGCAAAAAAGGGCTTTTTTAGTTCATTTGCCAGCCATGGAGGTTGCCGAACTACTATGATTGTTAATAACATTTGTATCCTTTTCAGTTCTGAATGTAATATTCTGTACAACAGTGAACCGTTTAAAGGGGCTTGCTGTGTCCGGCACTGGGTCAAAGCAACCTGCAGACATTTTTTCCCCCATTGAGAAATTACCCAACCATCAGGTGTTTTTTTTTTGCCATAAATGTTAAAGCTTTCAAGATGAATCACTAAGCGCCGCTGATGATGATGATGAAAATGTCACAGTTTAAATGTGCAGAAGTCACACTTCTGAGTGCGAGTGATGTTTGTGTGAATCTGCCTGCTCATCTATGTTGTTCTGTCAGCTGTCCTACCTCTACTCTTACAGGACATTTCTAGGGTCCAATTAGCTGGTTATTTATTAATTCGACAGTTCATTTGTAGATTATTTTTAAAGTAATAACATATTATCAATCAGAAATTATTTATTTGTATTATTATTTATGAGAAAAAAGTAGAAAAATCTGAATCAAAGTCCTCCAGGTACACTCAAAGTACACAGACAAGTACGTGATTCTGCTTGTTTTGTCCATGCGTACCCATTTGTAAAAACAAGTATATCATGAGCCAAAGTCTTTGCAAAGTCTAGTTTGATTCAAGTCCTTATCTACGGGCACTACGCTGGAACAATTAACTTTCATAACTATGAGCTTTTTTGCACATCAGCAAACACACTGCAACACTTGCATTAAATTCCTGCTATGTGTAAACTAACCACAAAAACCTCTGCTGTGTGTGGGTGAGGGGTTCCCTCACACCAGAGAGATCCATTCCTCCAACCGGACTCCATGTTGGCATTTTGATATTTTCTTCATCATCTTTGCAGCACGAACCTGAAGGCTCAAACAGCCTCCTGCAAACTCTAGTCAACCTAGGCGTATGTAGGTCACACGGCTTTTACCCCAAATGGCTGAAACGGTGATAGAAAGGAAGTAAGTTTGCTCTGACCTGGAAAAACCACTGCCTCAGAGCTGTGAAAACGTGTCTGTATTTTGTTTTTGAAAGCCTCTGAGGTTTTTTTCTTATCTCACCTATTGCGAAAGTCATGTTGTTTGTTTTTTCTTCAACGCTGCTTGGATCACTTTCCTTTTGTGTTTCATCATCGTGCAAATGTACTAAACTGGGTGTCAACAACCACACTGTTACACACTGTGTAATTATTAACTGTGTTTTCTGGGGAAATACATTGAAAAATAAATCCTGCAAAATGAGCAACAGAGCACCGTCCCCACTCATTCCTCATTTTAAAGCTTTTCTTTCTTCCACTTGGCTATTATTTGCATATTTACAGGACGGCCTAAATATTTTAAGTATGTGCTGGCTACAAGTCCGAGCTTGTAGTCTTGGGGAATTTAAACAGAGAACAAAGGCAGACTTCAGCCCTGATTCAGATGCAAATGCTGTTCAATGTCGAGTTAAAATTTAAGTACAGCAGCGAGTGAAGATGAAGTGCTGCTGCTTTCAAAAACACAGAGACAGTAGAAGAAGAAGAGAGCCCAGCTGAAGGAAAAGAGCGAGAGGGCCTGAGACACCACTGGGAACTGCTTTCAGATGCAGAGGCCGTCCCACGGCTGAATACTGTAGGAGAGCCGTTGTCATGGAAACAGGGAGGCAAAGCCGGCTCTTCATAGGGCTGTATAAGACCAGCCCCCTCCCCCCCCTCCACTCCTCCTTTCCTACTCTACAGATACTAAGCCAGGACAGGAAGCCGGACTGTAACCTGCAGGTCTGCTTCCTGTGACCTGAGACAAAGACAGGACGGGCGTTGCAGGTACGTGAGAGGTCAGTTCATCTGCAACAAGTGACTGTAACCTGTCGTTACCGCTCGCAGCGCGCAGTGTCATTTGTCTGGTTAAATGCTGCTGCGAGACGGTGATGAGGGGTTAGTGACAGTTTCGGTGTCCACAACACCCTTCAGGTCAACACACGACCGAGAGGAAGATCGACAACATCCCAGGCGGCTGTCTGAAGAAGTAGGGATGTGAAAGCCATCGCACATTCTGGCCAGACTCTGTTGAAGCATGCAGCTCTGTGTTTGCTGAGCTCAGATTGTATCTAGTGTTTTTGTCACCACAGCTGGTTGCTTTGTTCTATTGTAAAGCTGCTTTGGTGGAGAAACCGCCCAAGTCTCTGAGGTCAGAAGTTTAATGTTATGATACATTAAAAACATTCAAATTGATTATTATTAAGAACATAGTTGTTTATGTTATTTACTAATCTGCCAGATATTGGTTCTTTTTTTAAGGTCATATGGGCTTTTTTTGGGCCTTTTTTGAGAAGCTGAAGAGAGACGGAAAAGTGGGGGAGAGAGAGAGAGAGAGAGAGAGAGAGGGGGGATGGCATGCAGCAAATGGCCACGGGTTGGAATCAAACCCAAGCTTCTGCAGTAAGGACTCAGCATTGCACTGCACACTGGGTTATTACTGCCTCTATCCATTGTCTGGTCCATAAAATGTCACAAAGTTCACAACTTTAAATTGTTTGTTTTGAGCCAAAAACTCATTTGATTTAATATCACAGAAATCTAGATCACCAGCAAACACTCACATTGGAGGTTGAAACCAGGAGGTTTTTACAAAAAGGAAACAAAAAGCTTAATAAGTTTTCCCTCCATCAACTAATCAATTAATCAACTAATCGTTTCAGCTCTAAAAAGGTTCATCCTCCGGTATATAGTATTTTCATTAAAGCTTATTCCTAACCCTAATGATATAAACACTTCAATGTGTTATTAATATCTATCCTTATCTGATCACTACATAAAACTTTGATTGCAGTCACAGAGGGAAATGAGTTCAAATACTTTAACTCAAATGTTAAAAAAACTTTGTAACATTTGCTTTGGTGTAACATTATTGTTGTTAGATGGATTTCTGCAGCAGGAAGAACCTTGAAAGATTTCCAGTCACAAGCTGATAAAGCAAAAAGAAAGTTTTTGCACGTATGAAAATGAAGATCTGCTGCCTTCAGGTTTTTGGAAAGCAGGTTAAAAATAACCACTAGAAATTGGATAGTAATAGTTGTCTTAGAACAGATGTTCAAGCTTGTGCTGATATATATGTGCTATATCTATGTGATAATGTTGATATAAAATATACCAACAATTTATTTTAAAGCTCCTAATGCCTGATACTGATAGTGCGGCTGATATATTGTGACCCCCTAAAATCATAATATCGTATGCAGGCAGACTGCTTAAATCCATTTTGTTGTGCAAAATGTCACACACGTAGGAGATGTTTTCTTCAAGTCTAAAAATCACGAGAGCCAATGTTTTTACATCAGATTTGACCTGATCTTGAAAATAAAATGTGATTCATCTGCAGGTGAGTCACCTCTGATCAGATGTCAAGTGTTCTTTTTAATCACACCTCATGTGTCAGATTAGAGAGGACAGACAGATGAAGACATGTCATGCCTCTTCTCGCACAGACAGGCTGTTTTGTATCCTGAAGAGGGAAAAACATCTCGAAAATGGGGGAAAAAATTTGAAAAAATTCAGACTGAGCAGTAGCCAGACTTCATGTTTCTGGATGGAAAACTTGCCTTCAGTCAGCATGAGCACGCCTGCAAATGATTACAGTGTCTACACACACAAATCTGATCCGGTCACTTGGAAATTACAAACGTGGACAGTTGGCCTTAAAGAGCATATTTGAAAAACAAATTAGAGCCGTTTGCTGACTGAACAAACGGAGTAGGACAGTGAGACAGAGAAATACTTGGACACACTCTGCAACAAGTCGAAATGTTACACCTCTCCTGCTTTTTGCAATACTGTTCATGCACTCCTCCACGGTGCAAAAATGCTTCTGACAAGAGATTTCAAGGGCAGGCCCTTTTCCACACACGCACGCACACACACATAACTAATGCTTCTGAAGAAAAAAAAAAAAAGGAAAAGAAAAACCCTCGGGACTTAAAACTGGAGAAAAAATGTCTGATTCTTGTCACATTCCATCAGACAAAGAAGTCAGATATGCTTGGAGTGAAGTCAAGCTACAAGAACAGAGTGGTTTCTGGAGCGCTGTGCAGAAAATGGAGCGCCGTGGCGGCAGCAGAAAAGCTTACAGCTTTATCTACAATTCCTACAATAGCGGGAAAAAGGCAAATAAATGTTTCCAAAGAGGATAAACATCAATAATACCAGCGAGGGGAAACAGGATTTACATGGAGGGGAGAAAAGAAGAATAAGAAAAGGTTGTTTACAGTGAAAGCCGGGCGATGTGCTTGAGAGCTAGTGAGTGAGTGTGTGTGTGTGTGTGCGCTGAGGGTTAAATAGGCCCTTTAAACAGAGGCAGTGGGAAGCCTCACATCCTGAAGCAGCCGCTCTCATCCTGCTCTCCTCAGAGAAAGCTCAGCGGTGACCTTTGACATGGATTCATCATGTTTTACTTATTGAGGTGCATTAGAATAAACCTCACAGTGTGATGAATCTTGGTTTACAAGAAAAATATTTCATTTTTGTATTGAAACTTCACTGTAAAACTACTGCTTGAATGTTTTTAGCTTCAATATGTCAGATTTCAGCCCAGCAGATGTGTGATGTGTGCTTGAAAAACGTGCCCTCTTCCCTACAGGCCATAAATCATATACAGTATATAATATGTTCAGAGGAATCTGTAACAGTGGTTTCAGAAACCTCCTGAAGGGCTCACAACATAAAACTGAGCGGTTACCAGATGATATATAGGATAAGGGACAAGAGTCATAGTTCTCATACACACAATTATATTTTAGTAATTAAAATGTTAGCAAAACTATATTATATATATATATATATATTATGCCATGTAGTCCAAATAATTGATTCAGAGCAAGCTGTTTATTTAAAATGGCAAAATAGCCATTACAGTTGTGATGATGATTTCAACCATTACATGCAGCCCAACCAGAGGTATAATTCTACAGGGATGTAAAAAATATTTACATAAAACTATTTCAATGTTAACAAGGAAAATCTATCTGATGTTACTGCTCAACACTCACAGACATATGCAGCGCATGATGAGGGGTTGCAAGTACACATCACTTCATTTTAAGGCTGAAAACCACTGGTCCAGAAACGGTAGGAGATTATGAGAAGTGTCTCTCATAAGTCTCAGGCCCCAGACGAGTAAGTAGAAGCAAGTATGCAAACGCAAATGACGACGCCAGGTAGGCGAGGGGCAGGCAACAAACCTCAGTCCTCGAGGGTGCACTATAGACATGATCGGAGCGTTTCCATGACCACAGTCTATATATTTTCAGTTGCATTCCCATGTAAATGAAGAGGTGACAAAGTGTCACAAATGTGCCGAAGCACACGGACATGGGTGGAAGTGAATTCAAATGGAAAGATCAGCTTTCTCTTGTTATTATATTGCTATAGTGCACTCTAGCTGCAGAGGTCAGTCCGCAGGTTGAGCTCACGTTGCACTGAGATTGTTCAGGTGATGCAGATCACGCTTGGGGCCTTAGCAGAGCCCAACATGATGCCAGGTTAACTTTGATAACCAGAAAAATCACAAATGTGCCTCAAATGCGCTTTACAAGCTGTTTAACACCCTTTGTCCTTGAACCAGAAAAGGAAAAACGCCACAAAAAAAACCTTTAAAGAGAAAAAAGGGAGAAGCCTCAGGAGGATGTCGTACAGAGAGCAGACAGAAGCAGAGGAAAATGACAATATATAGAGACTGAATATGTAATAACAGACAATATGATATGATATATGAGGCACATAAAGGACAACTATATAGTCTAATATTAAGTAAATATTAAGTGTAATAAAAACAAATTTCATATTCTCAGATGTAGCCGAAAACCTCAAAATGATTTAGGAATTATTAAAACCAACGATTTCTTCTATCTTCCCTGACAATTCATCCATCCATCCATCCATTTTCTACACCCACTTATTCTGTTCAGGGTCATTGGAGGCAGCAGCGTATCCCAGCATGCATTGGGCAAGATGCAGAGCATGCCTCGGACATACTGGTCATCTGTCACTGAGCACATACTGACACACAAACACATTCACACCTACAGGACCTTCAGAGTTTCCACTCCACTTGACCCGCATGTCTTTGGACTGGCGGGGTAGAAACTCCTACATACAAAGAATCAATCAATATTCAACAATTAATCAAAAATTGATTCATTTCCTGCTGAGTGACTAATGGATTATTGGACTAAGCCTTTCCCTGGGGGGTGACATCAACACGAGAATCATCTTCCTAAAATCTCCTCCGACATCTCCTCTGCTCCTCGCCCTGAGCGGACACACCTCACATCTCTGAAGCTGTGATATACAGTTGATGTGTCGGCTTTTGTTTATGGTCACTGATGCAGCTGTGGGGGCAAACAAGAGGAAGTAACCCCCCCCCCCGCGCTCCGTTCTTGGACAGAAGAGGTTATGAGCTCCACTGACTGAAGGATATTTCCTCGAGGGCTTCCGGTCTGCAGCTGAGAATAACACTGAGGCTAATGAGTCTGAACGCCCTGAGGATGCAACAAACACCAGTAGGTTTATTTTTAGAAAACGACACCATACTCTCAGTCATTGGTTGTTTTTTCACAATTAATGAACTAATTGTTTAGTCTTGAAAATGTCTCTTTGACATACTCTTTGCAAGTTCCCAGAGGCAAAAGTGTCATCTCGTAATATCTTGTCTGAACAAGTGTTCAAACACCCAAAGGGAGTCAGTTTCTAATGATAAGAGAGAGCAAAGCTGCTAATTCTCCCTCTGTACAAATAATAAAGCTGTTGATTCTCTGTCAGTCGATTAAAGGACCAGTCTGTCTGATTTAGTGCTATCTCGCGGTGAGATTGCGTGTGTATTTTCATTGTGTGTAGGAGGAACTACAGTGGCAGAGAACCTTACAGAAAACGCTCCTATCTAGAACCAGTATTTGGTTTGTCCACTCTGGGCTACTGTAGAAACACGGCGGTTCAAAATGGCAGCCTCTGTAAGGGGACCTGTTCCCTTTGTTGACAGGTTGCCATGTTGAACTGAACATATTTCAGCAGTAACTCCGAACGGTTTGTGCGTTTTGTGGCCACCATAGTTTCTCTCTCGCACCACTTGGATGAAGCGAGGGAGTTTCAATCTGCAACTACACCGCTATGACATAAAATCCTACAAAAAAAAGAAGAAATAACGATGAAAGATTTGCTAGTTTCAGCAGCCCAAACAGGAAGTGTCATCATTTGTTTCTGATCAATTTTTTATTCAGTCAACTCATCGTTTCAACACAAATCACTTTGACAGGTTTCTTCAGGTTGGTTTCTAACAGAACTGACCTCTCGACCGTGCTGCTGTAAGAACAACCGAATCCACTTTAAATAAAATAAAAGATTAAATAAAGCTCGAGTTTGTCACAAATGTTTTAAAAACAAACATATAAAGCATGACAGTACAGAAATCTACAGTAAATATAATTTAGACTACGGCTGTAACAGAAAATTGTTATTCAATTTAGAAAGGCAATAAGCCAAATCTTCTCATATTGGTTCAAGCTTCTCAATGTGAGGATTTCTCTATTTTATGACTGAATATCTTTGATTCTGGGACAATTGGTCAAAGAGAACAATGATACTGAAGGTGTCACCTTGAGCTCTGGCAACTTGTGACGGGCATTAATTAGTGTTTAATAGACGAAAACAATCAACTAATAAATCCTAAAAATGCTGGGCAGATACATTTAAATCATTTACTGGCAGTTGCAGCCTCACAATAACAACAGACAATAAAACACTAATTCACCACACTGTTATTCTGCTGCTATTTTGGCCTAATGTGTAATGTGTGACACTCCCAAAGACTAAAAACAAAACAACAAAATCACTCCCAACGCCAAACTCCACAGCTGAAATGCCTTCACATGGGCGCGTTTCTAAAAACCTGATAGCAGCTTGAGAGACAGTGGGAGAGAGAGGTTGGCTTTAAGCAGGGCAGAGAGAGAGAGAGAGAGAGAGAGAGAGAGAGAGAGCTGGGAGGAAGGTTATGATGAGGGGAAATATGTACAGCAGGGTCATCATTAGAAAAGGTATTGATCACCTGAGGATTTACTGCACAAACCCACCTGAACGCACCTCGGTTTGATCACATACAGGCAGAGAGAGAGAGAGAG